TTGTCCGCAAGGTGGGCTCCGGCATTACGGACAAGTTCAATGCGGGAGATCGAGTGTGCGGTATCTTTGCTGAGCCCTTCTCGAGCCACCCTCGCATCAATGGCAATTTCAGCTGCCGCCTCCCCGAGACCATGTCATTTTCTATTGGCGCTTCCGTCCCTGTCATCTTCTGCACGGCCTACCACTGCATCGTCGAGGTCGCTCGTCTCCAGCCCGGCCAGACAATCCTGATCCATGCCGCGTCCGGTGGTGTCGGTCAGGCGGCCATCCAGCTTGCCCAGAACATTGGTGCCGAGATCTTCTGTACCGTCGGCAGCAGTGCGAAGCGTCAGCTGCTCATTGACACTTTCAACATTCCACCAAGCCATATCTTCTCCTCCAGGCTTCGCACCTTCAAGCAGGGCATCCTGCGCCTGACAAAGAACGAGGGTGTCGACTGTGTCCTCAACTCCTTGTCCGGCGAGTCCCTACATGACTCGTTTGCCGTTCTCGCACCCTTGGGCACCTTTGTCGAGATTGGAAAGTCGGACATTTACAAGAAGAACGAGATTAGCATGGTTCCATTCGACAGCAGTGTCACCTTTGCGGCCGTGGACTTGACTGTTCTCGCCCGTCTCAAGCCGGCCAAGATGCAGCAGACTCTCAGTACAGTACTCTCGCTATTCGAGGACGGTACTCTCAAGCCCGTGGCACCAATCAGGGACATGCCCATGACCGATATTGAGGAGGCCTTCCGCTTGATTCAGTCAAGGAAGCACACTGGCAAGGTGGTACTTGTTTGCGACGATCAAACGCAGGTAAATTTAACTGCGGCACGCCCCAAGCCTCTGCAGCTGGAGAAAAACGGCACATATGTCATCTCGGGTGGCCTTGGCGACCTGGGACGAAGGATTGCAAGGTTTCTTGCTGCCCATGGTGCGGGACATGTGGTCACCTTGTCTCGTAGGTCGCTCCAGCAAGACGACCGACTGGCGTTTGAGGAAGAGCTTTGTATCCTAGGAGCCGAGCTGCATATCGTCGGTTGCGATGTCACTGATGAGGCATCAGTTCAAGCAGCCGCTGCCAAGTGCACCGCAAGTCTGCCGCCAGTGAAGGGTGTGATCCATGCGGGCATGGTTCTCAGAGTAAGTACACGCTACTAAGCTTGGCGCTCCACGGGTGATGCTGACGTTTACTTTCCAGGACCACCCCCTAGAGATCATGTCCCATGATGACTACATGACAGCCACCAAGCCCAAGGTCCAAGGCACTCGACATCTCGATGACGCCTTTGGCGCTGCCGGCTCCCTCGACTTCTTCATTATGCTGTCTTCCATCACCTCAATCCTCGGAAAGTCTGGCCAGTCCAACTACTCAGTGGGAAACGCCTACCTGGACGCCTATGCGGAGAGCAAGAAGACGGCCAAGTGCAAGTACATTGCCCTGAATTTGGGCGCAGTGGACGGCTCCTTGGCCATCACCTCTCTGCCGGCTGCACAGCAAGAGGTCATGCGAAGAGGCTCGGTTCTCATGTCGTTTGATGAGGTTTTTGCGGTCCTAAACTACGCCATGAGCCCACAGGCGAGCGAGAACGGTCTTCACCAGCTGATCCTCGGTTTCGACCGAAAGTCAATGGAGTCGGTTCACGACGAAGCGGCCCTCGCAAACCCAATGTTCAGCCAGGTCCCCCACCTGGAGGAGGAGGGTGAGACGCCAACAAAGGAGGCCGCCACGGACGTTGGTAAGATGCTCCAGCAAGCAGCATCGCCCCAAGAAGTGGAGAGCATCGTCGTTGGCGGCATCTGCCAGCGCTTTGCCATGTTTACAGCCACGCCCGTCGAGGAGATCAGCCCTGATGTCTCCATGGACAGCTTCGGCCTCGACTCCCTCGTCGCCATTGAGTTGAAGAACTTCCTCGTGCGGACCTTTCAGGCTACACTACAGACGTCCGAGGTGCTTGACGCCCCCAACATTGTCAGCTTGGCCAAAACCATCATCCTCCGGTCGAAGCTGGTCTCTCGAGACACCAATGCGGCCATCATCGAGAAGGAGAAGGACGATGTCGTCGCTGAGAAGGCCATGAAGCCCATGCTTGATAGCGCGGCCCCAGGCGCGAACCACAACTTCCACTGCTGCAAAGCATCCAAGAAGCTCAGCAAGATGCCTCTTGCCGACTTTGACACTATGTTCGACGACTACCTCGAAAAATCCAAAATGTTCTTCTCTTCTGAGGAGTTTGCAACGCTGGAGAGGGACGTGGCCGAGTTCAGAAAACCTGGCGGCACAGGCCGCAAGTTCTACGGCCGTCTCTACGACCAGGCTCACGATCCCGACATTGAGAACTGGCAGGAAAAGTACTACCTGCAGAGCATGTATCTCCAGCGCCGCATGCCGTTGGCCCCCTTTAACAATTTCATGGCATTCCATCCGCAAGGCGAGATGGGTCATACCCAAGCGGAGCGCGCTGCTCTGCTTGCCCACATTGCCTTCAAGGGCAAGCAGGACCTCGAGGCAGACCGGTGGGAGCCCATGGCTTACATGTTCATCGCCAATTGTACCGATCTCTGGCAGTACATCTTCAACATGGCTCGCCTGCCCGGTGTGCCCTTGGATAGCATGGCCAAGTTCCCTGGGAATGACTACGCGGCCGTGTTGCACCGCGGACACATATTCAAGGTTGAGCTCCTAGATGGAGACAAGAATGTGTCTGTGGAGGCCCTGACAGATACTTTCAACGGCCTCTTGAGCCGAGACGTCTCGGAAGACGACTGGACTAGTATGCTGAGTGCCGACGATCGGACATCCTGGGCAGAGGTGTGTTTGAAAAATTAACAACTCTACTATTCAAGTTTTGTGCTCTTGCTAACCGGCTGTCACGCAATAGAACCGACAAGCACTCAGGGAACTCGATCCCATGAATAAGGCAACCATAGACATGGTGGAGGCTGCGGCTTTCCTGGTATGCCTCGACGAGACGGAACCAACAGATGCCGAAGGGCGTGTCCATGATATGATGATGCTCAAAGGCTTCAATCGCTGGGTGGATAAGTCCATTGCATTTGTAGTGTGCAAGAATGCTACTTCTGGCTTGTACGTCGAGCACACCATGATTGATGTAAGTCTGCTTCCCACACTCTACCCAACACGCTGACCATCCATAGGCAATGACTCTGCTCGCTTTGCAGACGGACATTGTTCAGGGCATCCTGACGCATAAGCCAGTCCGAGCAGTCAACGGCCACACTAATGGAATGGGCAATCTGCCAGAGGAGTTCCATCTCAGGACAACACCGGCCCTGGACCAGCGCGTCCTCCATGTGAGGCAGCGATTCGAGACCGAGATCGCCAAGTTCGGCTACCGGGACGTGGTCCTATCCGACTTTGGCAAGGACATTCTCCTCGATCGCCACCTCCCCATCAAGGGAATCTACGACCTTATGTGTCTGCTCGCCAACTACTACTACTACGGATACCACGCCCAGTCATGGGAGGCCGTATCCATGTCGCACCACCACAAGGGCCGGCCCGACATTGTGCAGGTCAACACGCCCATCACTGCCAACTTCTGCACCGTGGCTGACGACGAGAGTCTCCCGGCGCGCGAGAGGGTTGACTTGATGGTCCAGGCCGCCAATGCCCGCAACCAGACCATCAAGGACGCCTTCAACGGCCGCTGCTACCAGCGCACGCTCAGGGCGCTGGAGCTCTGCGCGGAAGAGGGCGAGGAGCTGCCTGACTTGTTCAAGAACCCGCTCTACGACCAGACAGTCGAGCCGAACCAAATGTTTTCCAACACGGATGGGCTGTCCCCCGAGTCTTGTTTCATTATGCAGAATCCCAAGCGTTTCTGGATGACCTACTATGTCACTGATGGAGGGTGAGTACCTTTGTCTTACATTCGCTTTTTTAGCATGCTGACCAATCTCAAGATCGCATTTCTCTGTTATTACCGGCAAAGAGGAGGTCGTTGCGTGGGCAAAAAGCCTGCAACGCGCGTCAGCCGTCATGAAGAAGTTGATCGATGCGGTATGAGAAGGATGATTTTCGTAAAATTCCGGACTCAAGGAGTTATGTGGGGTGTTTTTGCCTTAGTCTTGTTCAAAATACGCTCCATTGGAGCACATCAAGTACGTGACCTAAGGTTCCCGTGGTTGAGGCTGCGAAGCACGCCCACCACGAACTTATGCCGACTACATCCAGAAATATCCATTTAGTCTGTATCCACATGTGTCTGACTGTACCTTGGCGCTTGCCATGTCGCGGATCACCTTCAACAGTACTTCTCGAGAAAAAGAGGTTCGCCTAACTGACATCTCGAGACGTGCCTTTGGAGTCACTCAAGTATAACCAGGCCCTTTTCCAACGCAGTTACTTTCTCTCTAACCTGGAAATATGTTAACCTATGGATGAGTAAGTATTTTTCCCAGGCCGGATGCTGCGGTTCCTGGTAGTGACGGTGCTGGAAAGGCCTCCTTTGTCGAGTTGTCCCTGACAACCCTCGTGAAACAAGCCCACTGACCCACACTGAGCCTCTAGAAGAAGTATGCATCGACTATATTATCGATGTGGATGCCTCTCTGACATATCCAGACTCGCCTGATGATTTGAGTGCATTGAAATTCTCAATTGCATGTTCAGCCTCATTGTATAGAAACAGGCCATCGTGTCGTGCTTCACGTATATATGTATGTAAGTGTTGTAGCGTATATACGCCAATTAGCCACATTCAGAACAAATGTGGAATTCCCTTTTGGCCTGTTTGATAGTAAGTCCCACTCCCTCACTAACTATCCTATGAAGCAGAGGGTTAGTTATGCCACGTCTTGGGTGGAAATTACTTACATATCGGATAGTGGTTTCATCAATCAACCCTTTTGCTAATTATGAACACCCAAGAACTAGCCAGCATAGTAGAAAATATTTAGTATTATCAACACCAAACAAACCAACATTGTTGCATTGTCTTCATGCTGTCTTTGCCCCTAGTATTCCCAACCATGACGCCCAACAATCGAGAAAAATCAAACAGTCTTCTCATTTCTCGTCGAGTTCAATTCGACATCATGTGAGCCAGTGCTCTCGGGATCTGCTTCCATCTCACTCTCTTGCGATGGTTGAATGCGATCATCCGGTATCCATCGTCGCTGCATACCGAAACTCAAAATCAAAGATGCACCCGCCACCGCAATCGGCAGAATAAAAGCCTCAGTGACGGCGTAGCTGAAAGCCTTGCGGACCAGTGGCAGCATCGCCGCCGGCACCGACTTGGCCAGGTCAGACGCACCCGCGTCCTGTATAGCCTCTACCTTGACCCCGTCCACCGCGCCCGCCAGTCGCTGGAATAGCTCGCTCGAGAAGAGGTTGGAGGCAATGCTCAAACCCACCGCGCCGCCGAGCAGGCGGAAGAAGACGACGAGGGCGCACGCGGTGGGCATGTCACTGTCCGGAAGGACGACTTGCACCGCAATGAAAGGCACTTGCTCCGCGAGTCCGATGCCGGCACCGCTGAGTATTTGGAAGCCGATCCACTCCCCCATGGAGGAGTCTACGTCCAGCTCGCGAAGGAGAACAGACCCGGCAATGAAGACACTCGTGCCCAGCCACATGAAGGGAACGTAGTGGCCCCTGGAGCTGATGCACGCGCCAGTGATGATGATGGCGATGCTGCACGGAATTCCGTACGCCAGGCAGCGGACGCCCGAGGTCACGGCGTTGGTCCCTAGCGCAGCCTGGAAATAGAAGGCGAGATAGTACATGTGAGTATTGTGCGCCATAGACATGAGCATGTTGAAAACGCAGCTGATGGCTACAGTGCGCTGCGACAGGATCCTCGTGGGAATCGTGGCCCTGTGTCGTTTGAATTCTGTTAATAGCGGACAGTTTTAGACGTGATGGGGAGTTTGCCGAGGTGGACTTACTCTTCCTTCTTTGTTGCTTGCAGAGCCGCGAACGCCGATATGAATACAACAAAAACAATAATGCACACGTACACTCTTGGGTCGGACCAGGAGTACTTGCTCCCACCCCATTGCAAGGCAAAGAAGAGTGTCACTAGGCCGGCGATGAGTAGGAATCCACCGAAAAGGTCGAGTTTCCTCAGCTTCTCGCGCAATGAAAGCCGCCCGTGAACAGAATTCTTTTTCTTGAGAATTTTCCACGCGATTGCAAAGGTCACAGCCCCGAGCGCTAGACAGGAGGTCAGACATGATCGTTTGGAAAGACAGCAACCAATCGCTTACGCAGATTCAGCCTACAGAATGTTAGAAGTGTGAATGCAAGTCTGGTGTCAAGGTAACGTACCAGAAGCAGAATCGCCACGTGAGCTTAGGCTCGTCCGTAATCAGCCCTCCCAGCGTTGGTCCCAGGACTCCAGCAATCCCATACATGCTCGTGACGAGAGCCATCCCAAAAGGCCTCGCTCGTAAAGGAACCGATCTGCCATAGACTGCCAGGCTCCCGCAAAGTAAGCCAGCGGCTCCTATGCCAGCGACGACTCTTCCAGTAATCAGGGCGGCGGAGATGGGCGCTGCAGCACAAACGATCGAGCCTACTTCGACTTTGCGAAAGGATGTTAATCACACATACCCGGATATCGTCCATTAGCGGGTCTTGAAAGCTCTTACAGACAAAGATGGAGCTCAAATAGAGTATTCTAGCATCGAACAAGCTATAGAGACGACCAAAAGTAGGTTGGAACGCCATCTCCGTCAGGAGGTAAGCGCTGCCGTACCATGGAACGTCGTCGAGTCGCCCAAAGTCGCTCGTAATTTTGGGGATAGCCGTCGCTAATGATTGTTAGCGGCGAGTCACGTTATCAAGATCGAGCGCCTCGTCTCACCGAGGATGCTCCCATCAATCGCTATCATGAAAGTGGCAATCGTGAACACTGTGGACAGAAGGGCAAGCTCCCGTGGTGTCGCGTATTGAGGAGCGGGAGGCTCATCTTGCACTGTCACCGGAGCAATTGCCTTTTTGGTCTCGAGATGCCCTGGACATGTCTCAACTTTCTCTTTCCCGGTCTGGTCAGTATGTAAGTCGTTGCCTTTAGGTGCCTTGCCGTTGACATCAGAAACTGGCTGCACAGCAATGCCCAGACTGCCTCTGCTTTCCAGAACCATAGCAACTCAAGTTTGGAGAAATAGCTGTGAAATGAATATACCGAGCTCAAGAACCTGAATGAAAAGAGTAGCCCAATCTTTCGCGGCCTGGCTTTGGGGCCGTGCTCTACACCATGAGAACTAGACAAGTATGGCCCGTAGTGCCGTTGGAAAATTAGAACCTGTAGCACGTGGCACCTATGGAATTGATCCATTAACAGATTTGCCACAACAAGACCAAGAAGATCCCGGGGGTTGGATGGGGTGTGCCTTGAAGTCTCGGCTCTAAGGGTCTCTCGCACCCGAGATCCTTTGCAGCTTACATCTGCATGATAGCTCACCTGCAGTCTGATCCTTCGACGTGGGACAAATCAATCACATAAAAAGGGGGGTCGCGCCGTCGGACCAGGCGGCATGATGGTGGCTTAGACCGTATAGCCTAAAAGCCGCAGCATCCTCTGCTCTCACCGCGCCGCTCTATTGATGCAACCCGTCGGCGATTATCCTAGTAAAGCTGACTAGGACCCCGGGCAGCTGGGGCGTAGGCGGCCCGAGCGCCTTCATGCATGAAGGCACTTGTGATACACGACAGCATGCAGTCCACCATTCAATAACTCTGTATGGTACCATGGCCAACCTTATTTCGTTCACTCGCGTGGCTTGGCGTGCAGGGTGAAGCATGGAAGAGACCGCTTACTATAGTTTTTATTGAGATAGATAAGTCAACCTGAATGCCTGTACACGACTTGATTAGTTCCAAGTTGTAGTGGCCCGCTGGCAACTTAACAAACCAGCATGATCCCCTCTACCCTTCTCCTCGCACTCAGCACCGTAGGTTTAGCCTTGGCGAAGCCTACGTGCAACAAATGCAAAGCCTTTCCCGGAAGTCCAGGCTGGCCGTCAAGCCAACAATGGTCTCACCTCAATGAAACCGTGGACGGCAGGCTCATCAGGCCAGCGCCCCCCGGCGGCGTCTGCCACGAGGGACAGCCAAACTACGATGAAGACCAATGTCCCCAGCTCATTGAAGACTGGCGTGTCTTTGAATTCCACGCCGCGGACCCCGTTTCCGTCATGTGGGATCTCTGGGCCAACTATACCTGCCTCCCCTTTGAAGGCTTCTCTTGCAGTGGTGCTGGCTATCCGTCGTACGTGGCTAACGTCACCACGGCGCATCATGTCAAGGCTGCCGTTGACTTTGGTGAGTCCATGAGGGATCATGCACTCGAATAATCCCGACTAATACCCACAGCCCGAGACGAAAATGTCCGCTTGGTCGTGAAGAGCAGCGGGCACGACTACCTCGGCCGCTCCGTCGCACCTGGATCCCTTTCCATCTGGACGCACCACCTCAATAAAATCGAATACCACGAGGACGAGTTCAAGCTCGCTGGATCAGGCAAGGTCATACCTGGTGATGCGATCACAGCCGGAGCGGGCTCCCCGATGATCGACCTCTACACCGTAGCCGATCAGCACAACCGAACTGTTGTAGGCGGCGGTGGTAAGACTGTCAGTCTGGGCGGCTTTGTCACGGGAGGGGGCCACTCCATCCTTGCTCCTCACTATGGCCTTGCGGCAGACAATGTGCTGCAGATGGAGGTCGTTACCCCTGCTGGAGACATCCTCACGGTCAATGAGGACCAGCATGCGGACTTGTTCTGGGCTATCCGTGGTGTGAGTACCCAGCCTATGCACACTGTTCCGCTCATGCAAGCTCTAACATGTATCAGGGAGGCGGGTCGACCTTTGGCGTCCTTACATCAATCACCATCATGACGCATCCCCCAAAGAAGCTCTCCATGGTCCTCTTCATGGCGTTTACCATCCCCGAAGCCCCTTTCACTTTGGACCTCGTCACCTGGGCCATGTCCCAGACCCCTTACCTTTCTGACTCGGGTCTTTCGGGATATCTAATGGCCACAATAGATTCTCCGCCGCCTATCCCGCTTCCTGGCGTTCCTGAGCGGGTGGCTGGTCTTATGGGCAAAACAATCATTCTTGACACCCACGACCCGGCCAAGATTGACGAGATCTTCCGCCCGCTAAACGAAACCATTCAAGAGCGTTGGCAAGGACAGGTGCATTTATTGACCATTGTCCAGCCGTTCGAATCCTTCTTTGACTGGTACTCCGAGAACTACGACGATGGTCAAGCCGGTGGCTCCACATATCTCATTTCACGATTATTGGACAAGGAGACGGTGACCGGTGACTTGGATGCGCTTTCCAACGCACTGGAGCCAATTCTCATCGACGATGGATGGCTCGGCACGTACTTGGTTGCCGGAAAAGGAGTCAACGAGGCAAAGCCAAGAGGTGGAAGCAACGCCGTCCACCCGGCATGGAGAAAGGCATATGTTCATGCGAGTGAGTACAGTAAAAATCAGTGCGAGCATGAGAATCCCTATTAACAGCTCAAAGTCAGCTGGCTTGGTTGGGGCTACCCTCCTTTCGACGAGACAGCCGATGAGCGGACAAGAAAGATCCTCGACGAGAGATTTGAAGCCCTTCGCGAGCTGACGCCCGACAGTGGCTCGTATATGAGCGAGGTAAGTTACCGTTGCCAACATGGGTTGTAAACAGGCAAAAACAGTACTGATGATCTTGATCTTATAGGGTTTTCCGTTTGAGGACGACTGGCAGCACACCTTTTGGGGAGACAACTACGAGCGCCTGTCTGAGATCAAGCTGGAGATTGACCCGCAGGACGTCCTGTGGTGTACACCGTGCGTAGGCAATGAGGGTTGGGAGGAGAAAGAGGACGGTCGTCTTTGCAGGATCAAATAGTCTGTAACGTGGATACAAACATACCCAGCCCCGCGCGAATGAAAGACACTCAAGGGTGCAAGTGTCATTAGAGGTTTTTAGACATGTCCCAAGATGAACTTGCTTCGATCGCGCGCGCCTGACCTGTGAATACAATAGACACTCGGGTCACAGAGGGCGACCGAAGCACATGGACGGCTCATGACGGCCCGGACACCTGTTGACATGATGCTTCGTGGATTGGCAAATGCACCACTCTTTCACCGGTACTCACAGGATTCTCCTACAAGCATTGTTCACGGGAGAACGGGGAAGACCGGTACATGAAGTAGATGTTCAGAAAGTGCGAAGATGGCTGAAGCTACCTTGTATCTCCTCTTCCCTAATTCAATGATGTGGCTTAGTGATGGATAGACTATCAGTCGACGCTTCTATCAAGAAGGAGGACGAGGTGCGCACGCTAACGTCCTGCATCCATGAAACCGAGCCAACACTTGAGGCGGTTGGAAATGACGGGCCTGCTGTCGAGTCCAAAGTCTTTGTCGAATTATACCGAGTCGTTTATGGAGGTCGCGGACAATGGTCGCCTCCAAGTTGTGCATGAGTCTCTAAAGCAAGACCATGTGGTTTCTGCAAATTGCAGGCTGCGGGCAATCTGGAGCCTCCCAAGTCGGATATGGCTTCTGGTGGCAGGCCAAAACGCTCATATCAAGAGGGTGCCTGGGCATGATCCTTTGCATAGGAAGCATGCCTTCTTGCTCGTACCCAGGAATCGGAACTTGGGAATCGCTCTACGCGGAGATCGTAGAAGCTGCGTTTCAGCGTGGATGGTTGCTTATGAGACAGGCTTCTTTGTACCGACGCTCGGGTTTATTGTAGATCATCCTCAGCTAGTCAACCAGCTCCCAGGTGCCTGTGTTGCCCATCGATCTGCGCAGGATGTCCGTGCGTGGTAATTGGGTGTCGCCCAAGGTGAAATCATAGGTATCAAACACGCCAAAAGGGAATTCCACATATGGTCTGAATGTGGCTAATTAGCGTACATACGCTGTAACACTACCCCCCAGGCTAGCCTATGTACCATAGGCTAGGCTGCCCACAGCAATATAATAACACGGCTATTACTTTTTGCCGGGCCTTAATAAGCCTCTGTATGTCAGAACTGGGTTTAATGAAGAGAGTGAGAAGGTGCATAATGTCGAGAGGGCGTAGCTAGATCGCTGCGAGTACGGGGTCCTTGGTGACTGTATTAATCTCTTGATCTTCCTAGAAGCATTCCTCGGCTGCGAAGGTTTTTCCCTTGGTGCGCCCTTGTGCACGTGACCTAATCGGGGCTTCCTGAGCCACTCCCAGCCACAGGGCCAGTGGCTTTAGCCACCCCTGATACCTATAATAACTTTAGTATATAATATATATCTAATAGAACGCCCCTCTCTACGTATGCCGTCCTCGGTATCTACGTATTCGTAGCGACTATACTAGGTCTATGCGGCGAGGCTGGTATTTAGTGGTTTCGTTTG